AACTTGAGTTGATAGACCTTAATACATATGACAGGGGACATGAAATCCAGCAAGGGGGGCGGGCTATAAGAGGGTGCAGATAGGAGAGTGGGTATAAATATGGCCAAAATATATTGCATGAAATTCACAAAAATTCAACTTGAAAACAAAGAAAACATGTCTTGGTTTCCTTCTTCCTACAGGGTAATTGGAGATGTTTGTCCCACACTCACCCTACACCCCCTTGGTTCTCCAACTGCAGTGCCTGGCTTCCAATGCCTCCCGCTCCCTCTAGTATCTTCCCAGGACAGATGCATGAAAGGAAAGTCCTTAGAAAGCATAAATCTCTGCTTCCACCCCAGACTAGAGTTCTCTGCAGTGAGACTGGGAGTCTCCTCTCTGAAGTCTTTTAGAATCTTTCTTTTAAAAAATACTTATTTGGGGACTGGAGGGCTGGCTCAGTGGTTAAGAGCACTGGCTGCTCTTGCAGAGGACCCAGGTTTGGTTTCCAGCATCCACATGGTGGCTAACATCTGTAACTCCAGTTCCAGGGGATCCAACACCCTCTTCTGATCTCTGTGGACGTTACATGATATGCGTGCACTTACACACATGCAGGCAATATACTCACACACTAAAAAAAATTTTAAATAATAAAAATTTTTAAAAATACTTATTTTTATCATTATTTTGTTTGTTTAAGACAGGGTCTCCCTGTAGCCCCAGCTGGTCTGGTTTATGTAGACCAGGTTGGCCTCAATCTCACAAGAATTGGGATTAAAGGCCTGTGGCACCAGGGCACTGACATAGCTGCCCAGAAGCCTTCTGTTTACTGTGCTCTCTCCTGTCATTCCTGTTTTGCGTCTCTTTACTTTTTGTCTGACCTTTACTCAAACACCTTTTTAAAAAGAAATAAACCAAACTGAGTTTGGTTTTCTCCAAGTTCAGGCCACTACTGACCCTGTTCCAGCCCTTCCCAGTACAAAAGTGCAGTGCGGTAGCAGAGTCCACTGTGGAGTTTCCCCGGTAGCATCCCCCTGAAATCTCTTCTGCTAGGAAGCCTAAGCTGGTTGGCCATGGTGGTGGGTGGCTGGCAACCATGTGGAAAGAGAGCTGGGGAGGAAGGATGCTGAACATACCGCTTGAGTGCCTGGATCCAGCCGTTCCTGAAGCCCAGGATCCTGTGACCTTCCTGGCACTTGAAGTCACCTTGCTTCCCGGTGCTCCCTGCCTCCCGGAGCACCCTTGTCCCTTTCCTGCTTTCAGTACCTGTTTCTGGGGTCTCCTGTTACCTTTGAACGCACAGGTGAAGGGTTCAGTCCAGCTGTTCCCAGCTGGGATACAAAACAACTGTATGGTGGGAATGAACGTCCAACCTGAGGGAAGGGGCAGGAGAGTCTGGGAGCTGAGTGCGGGGGATGGGCTGACTCAATCAATCCTTGCTTTGAATGGCGGCTCGTTAATTCCCTCCCCGGAGAGACCGCGTCTCCCTTTACCTCCAGTCTCCATTAACTACATGGTGCTTTGTCAGCCCATTTATGACAAATTAATTGCATAGAAGGGGAAACTGGGCCGGGAAGGCCTCTGCTTGGGAGGGAGCTGCAGTTTACTCCCAGTGGACATGGGCCTGGTTAACCACAAACCTCAGGCAAACTCTGAGACCACACTCGGTTTTCAGCTCAGTGGAGAAGGAAGATGACCTGGGTGGCGAGTCCCCCTGCATTAGCTTGTATTGACGATGGGGTGTCCCTGAGCTCTGGAGATCACAGCACACTACTGTGACCGGGAAGACTATGCCAGGGTCCCAGTCCCAGCCCACGGCACAGGATCCCTCCCCACAGCAAGCCCCACTGTCCAGCTCCCAGGGAGCATGGTGCAGGTCAGCTGGCTTGTGGTCAGGTCTCATGCAGGCAGGTTGGCTTTGACTCCCTCTCCCACGAACTTCCTATCTCCGTTTTCTTTGCCCCGAACTTCTAGCCACCCCTAAGCAGCTATCTCTAGATACAAGCTGCTTTACTCTGAGCTTCATACTCTGGCCAGGTGTGCCCTCATTGAGCACCGTTCCACACCCCATCTGGCCTCAGAGACCATGATCTAGGGTTGTGGGCTCCCTAGCGCACCTAGGGCTTCAGCAGTCAGCTTGTGTTGAAATTTCCCATGATCCCCTGAGGTCACCCCTGCTGACCTTATGCCAACCCTGAACCCACCCTCCCTTTCTGCAGCCCCAGGGCCCAGTCTAGGCTTTGGCCTTCAGGAGGTGAAGAGGCCCTGGTCAGCATGCATGGGGCCTGGAGGAGCAAGAGTCAGGAGACAGGGTCCTGAGCCCAGGAAGTCCCCACTCAAGGGACTCCTGTGGTCTCATCTGTTCCAAATCTCTTTCCTGGAGGCTTCAAAGATCTGCCCATCCCCTGCCCTCCTTGTATCCGGAATCTGCAGTGCCGTGGTCGTGGTTACCCACTGTTTCTGGAGTAGGCCTTGTACCACCAGTAGCCAATCAGAGCAATCCATCGCTTTGGCCCATGATGGGTTTGGGGATAAGCACCTGACCCAAACTGCCACATGTGATTTTCATTGTTGGGAAAAAGGTCTTCCTTGCACGGGGCAGCCATGCTGGGGCACTGGGGCACTGTGGGAGTTTGGTTCTGTTCTTTGGCTTGCTGACCCTTTCTCTCCCTTCTTCATCTTCAATGCTCCATCGCTCCTCTCCAAGCACCCCAGGATCCCACCCTGAGGTTCCAGAAAGTCACAATGACACTGCCCACCTACCTTTTTGGGATGCCCACCTCATCTGCCACCACATCTGGCCTATAGCAAGCCCTGCCTTCTGATTGGCCAGGGGTAACCACTTGACCCAAGGACCAGTCAGTCACTTCACAGGGCCTGGGATGGAGGTGGGGGAGCAATTTGTTCTCTAGAGGTTTAGCTAAGGAATCCTGTGAAATCAAAGTGAAGATTCTAGAAGGGTCAGGTGGACTTGGGAGGGCCTTGAAGGAGAAGAGAGTGGGCCAGTGGCTCTATGCACTCAGATTGCTTAACAGAGCACCCTGGGCTGGGTGGTTTATAATGACAGGAGCCTGTGGCTCATGGTGTGTGTAGCCGGGAAGGTTAAAGTCACGCTGTCAGGTTCAGGAGCCCTCTCCTCAAATATGGCATCTCATTTCCACGTACACTGTGAAAGGACAGAGGGAGTAATGAGTCCCTCAGCCTCATGTAGTGCGACAGCTCCATGCAGCTGGGCCCTAAAGGCTTACTCGGGGGCGTCTTGTTAGATTTCTCCTGGGGACAACAGGCAGCCATGATGAGAAGCAACTCTGGGTGGGAATATGGCCCAGGAGAGCAGCTGGGCTGTGAGCTGAGCAGCACCTCGGCCACCCACCTCCTCTAGGAGCACAGGAATTAGAGTGGACGAGGGGATACTCCTTGCCAGTCTGTCCCTGCCAGCTTGGCTGGGAAGACCACTGAGGCTGGCTCCGTGAGCTGCTTAGTATTTATTAACTTGACAAACTAAAGTCATGTGGGAAGAAGGAATCTCATTTGAGGAATGTTCTCCATCAGGCTGGCCCGTGGGCTTGTCTGTGAGGCAGTTTCTTCAGTGTTAATTGATTTGGGAGGGCCCAGCCCACTGTGGGCAGTGCCATCCCTAGGCAGGTAGGCCTGGGCTGTCTAAGAAAGGTAGCAGAGCAAGCCAGGGGAGGAAGTCGGGAAGCAAGGCTGCTCTACGGTGTCTGCTTCAGCTCCTGCCTCCAGGTTCCTGCCCTGAGTTTCGGCCTAACTCCCCTCAATGATGGACTTGGAGGTACAAGATGAAAAAGCCGTTTTCTCCTCAAGTCGGCTTTGTCATGGTGTTCATCACAACAACAGAAAGCGAACTAGGACACCCTGTCAGCAAACGTATTACTCAGCTGGGTCAGCTGGACAAATAGCCAAGAGAGACAGTTGTTTTTTAAAAGGAAAACCATGCAGGGTGTAGTGGCACACACCTTTAATCCCAGCACTTGGGAGGCAGAGGCAGGCAGATCTCTGAGTTTGAGGCCAGCCTGGTCTACATAGCAAGTTCCAGGCTAACTGGGGCTGCAAGGAGACCCTGTCTCAAAAAGACCAGAAAAAAAAATTAAAGGAAAATCACTTAGTTGGTAGAAACTTGCCTTACATGTATGAAACCCTGCATCAGTGTCCAACATCACATAAACAGGGTGTCTCGGTGCAAACCTGTAGTCGGAGAGCCAGGAGTTCAAAGTCATCCTCAGTTACACAGTGAGTTCAAGGTCAGCCTGGGATATAGGAGACAAATCTCAAAAGACAAACACAAATAATATGTGCCCTTTGGGGTCTGGCTTAATTCAAAAAAATAAAAAAGGAAAGAGGTAATGTTTCTTATTTAATTCTTTTTTAAAAATTAATATTTGTGCATGCGTGTGTGTGTGTGTGTGTGTGTGTGTGTGTGTGTACATGCACCATGGCTCGAGTGTGGAGGTCAGAGGACAACTTGCAGGAGTCAGCTCTCCCCTTCTACCATGTGGGTCTCAGGGATCGAATCTGGGTTATAGGGCTTGGAGGCAAGCACCTTTACCTGCTGAACCATCAGCCCCTAGGTTAATTCTTTTTTTTTTAATTAAAAAAAATTATTATTTTTATTTTATGTGTATGCATGTATTGCCTGCATGCAGGTAAGTGCACCTGTGTTGTGCAATGCCTGCGGAGGACAGAAGAGGCTGTTGGATCCCTTGGAACTGGAGTTATGGACAGTTGTGAGCAGCCACGTGGGCGTTGGGATTCGATCTGGGGTCTCCTGCCAGAACAACCAGTGTTCTTAACCGCTGAGCTCCAGCTCCTAGGTTAATAAACCACTCTCTCCAGCTCCTTTAAATAGGTTTTCTGAGTGACTTGGCTTCTCTTTAGTCCAGTGGAATGAAAGCTGTGGGGGGCACTGATTTTTACGTTTTCTTTTTATTGGACTATTCATACACTTAGTTTTAGATGCACATTTTTGTACAAACACACAGTGCACTTTGGTCCCTCTGTCGCTTCTCCATCCCTTTCTTTCCCCTGGACTGTTTGTCTTCTTTCATGTCCTGTATACACACATGACTTTATACATGTATACAAGGTCTAGGACCCACCAATGAAAATATCTATTTGTCTTGCTGAGGTAGCTTAATCCCGTGAACACGATGACCTCCAGTTGCATCTGTTTTCTTACAAATGACATAATTTCATCCTTTTTCATGGCTGTATATATACCACGGTCTTTTTCTTTACACATTTCTCTATCATTGAACACTTGGGTTGGTCTCATAACTGCTACTGTGAACAATGTTGTGGTAAACATGGATGTGCAGGAGTCTGTGTGCTACGCTTGGAGTCGTTTGAGGAATGATCTAGCTGGCTCATATGGAAGATCTACTGTTAGTTTTTTGAGGCAAGAAAGGTTAGTTTTGGCTCATGGTTTCAGTGGTTTCTGTCATGGGCCCTTGGCTCTGTCAATCCCAGCCTGTGGCAAAGCGGAAAGACATGAAGTGAAGGGGGGCGGGGAGAGAGAGAGAGAGAGAGAGAGAGAGAGAGAGAGAGAGAGAGCAAGAGGCGGGACAAGATCCCCTTCAAAGGCACGGTCTAGGCTGGGACTGGGGCTCAGTTAGTAGATGTCTGCCTAGCATACTCAGGGTTCTATCCCCAGCACCTCATAAACTGGGCTTGGTGGTACAGACCTGTAATCCCAGCACTCAGGAAGTGGAGGTAGAAAGATCAGAAGTTCAAGGTTATTTTCGCATACATATCAAGTCAAGGCCAGCCTGGTCTACATGACACCCTGATGTCTCTAGTGATCCATTACCTTCAACCTCCCAAAGTCCCCATCCCCTCCTGATGTCAATGAACAATGCATCCATCTGGGGACCTGTGTGTGGCTGAGCTCTAGGATCCAGTCACCTCACAATGGTTGAACCTATGAGCTGGAGATAAAGCCTTCATCAAGGCCTTTTCGGGGAATATGTCATATCCAAACCAAAAAAAAAAAAAAAAAATTGGTCCGAGCCCCTTATGCAGCCACAGGAAGTCCCCTGCCAAGGCTGCCTGCCTGTGTCAGCTCAGCCTCTCTCTTCTTGGGTCAGGCCTTGGGCTGTTCACTCCCTATGATAGGGGCTGCATTTTCCCCCAGTGTGGGTTCTACGGTCTGGGAACCCCTGTCTTCCAGGGTCACATCCTCTCTCAGTTCAGAGGTGAGGGGCATGGAGCTGGGGTTCTGGAAGCAGCTTCTGTATGGTGTGGTATCAGAACTCGGACCTAAGGGAAAAGAAGAGGTCAGAGAAAGTGTGGGAAGATTCATATCACTTCGTTGAGTTTCCTGGGCCTGCAGGCTTCCTCTGTGCTCCAGAGCTGCCCTTTCTGAGCCCCTACAGCTGTAGTGACTTCCTACTTCCCTCATATGCTCCTGGCTTGGTTCCCAAATTGTTCTCAAGGAGACTTAAATTTTTTTTCTCATTTATTTATTTTATGTGTGCATGTGTTTGGGCATGGGTGTGTGGCGATCAGAAGGCAACCTAAGGGAGTTCGTTATCTCCTTCCACTGTACGGGTCCTGAGGGTCAAATTCAGGTTGGCAATCTCAGCAGCAAGCACCTTTACCCATTGAGCCATTTTGCCAGCTGTGCTGCATAGCTTTAGTGTCAACTTGACACACCTAGGTTGAGGGAGCCTCAATTGGGTTTGCCTCCATTGGGCTGGCCTGGGGTCATGTTTGTGGGGCATTTCCTTGATTGTTGAGTGATGTGGGAGGGACCAATCCCTTGGGCAGTGCCACCTCTGGGCAGGTGGGCCTATATTGTATAAGAAAGCAGGTTGAGCAGGGGCCAGGGGGGCAAGCCAGTAAGCAGTGTTCCTCTATGGCCTGTGTTCCAGCTCCTACCTCTGGTTCCTGCCCTGAGTTCCTACCTTGGGCTCCCTCAGTGATGAACCATGACCCAGGAAATAAGTCAAATAAACTCTTTTCTCCCCAAGTTGGTATTGGTCAGAGTGCTTTGTTACAGCAATTGAGGTAAACTGAAGCGGGGGGTCATTCCACAAAGGCTCACCTGTGTCCTCCTTTGGCTCCTTGCCACCTCCAGACCCAGTGACTCCACCTGGGCCCTCTGACCCCGGGTGAACTGTCATCTTGTTGCTGTTGCCGATGGTGGTGTCCTCCAGGAAGCAGGATTTGATGTGGATCCTCTGAGTCATGTCCCCCTCGGGGTGAGGGCCTGGCTCAGGTGTCTGCACATTGAATGAAGCCTCAGGGCTAGTATCAGGGGCTGAGACTGTGAGTGAGCCAAAGAGATGAGTCGGGAGGAGTGAGCTGCTGGACAGTGACCAGAATCCACACACCCAGCCTGGCTGTCAGGTCCTGGTGGCTGACTCTCACCAGTGACCCTGAGGGCCTGGCCCAGCCACCCAACCTCCACTTCTCTACACATGCCCTGATGGCTTGGCACACCCTCCATCTGCCCCCAGAGCTCGGGGCCACCACCCTGGCCTCAGCAACTCCCTCTGGGCCTCCAGAGCCTCTCCTTCACCCTGTGGCTGGCTCCGAGGTGGCAGCGCATGGATAGGCTATCCCCATGAGGTTCATGCTTTCCTCTTCTAGCCCCAGCCCCACTCCAGCCTCACCCTAAACTTTACCATCTTCTCCTTCTTTCCCCATTGAAATCTCTAGAAATATCCCTGCCTACCATTCCCACGCACCTGTCCTCTCATCCCAGAATCAGCTACAGGAGCTACTGCTGCTGCCCCTGCAGCTGCTTCCTGCTTTTCTAATCACTCCCTCTTTGTAGCTCCTCCTGGCTCTGCTTGACCCCCTGGGGTCTCAGCTCATCTCTGGTCCCCAATTTCTAGCAGGACTCTGGCCAGGCCCATGGGTCACTGTGCCACTGACATAGTCTTTTATGAGCTTTGCACAAACCTAGACATACCTGAGAAGAGGGAACCTCAGCTGAGGAATTTCCTCCATCTGACTGGTCTGTGGGAATGTCTGTGGGGCGTTTTCTTGATCCTGATTGATGTGGGAGGGCCCAGCCCACTGTGGACAGTGCCATCCCTAGGCAGGTAGAACTGGGATGTATAAGAAGGATAGCTGAGCAAGCCAGGGGAGGAAGCCAGGAAGCAGCATTCCTCTGCTTCAGTTCTTACCCCCAGGTTCCTGCCCTGAGCTCCTTCCTGTCCTGGCTTCCCTTAATGATGGACTGTTACCTATAAGTTGAAACGAAACTTTTCTTCTCCAAAACGGGTTTGGTCAGTATTTTATCACAGCAAGAGAAAGCAAACTGGGACAGAAATTAGTACCAGGAGTGGGGTATGGCTGTGATGAACCTGGCCGTGTTGTTTTGTGGAAGGAGGATTATGGAAGTGTTTGGAGCTTTGGATTGGAAATATCATTGGAGTGTTCAGATCTTAACGGGCTGTTCTGTGGGAACTTGGAAGATGATGCTGAGGGCATTGCAGATGATGAAAGTCTGACTTGAGAAGTTTCAAGAGGAGGTTTGAGAGTCCCTCAAAGATGCTATCTGGATTATTCATGTGATATTTTGAATTAAGAACCTATAGTTTCTGGTCAGCTGGGGCTGAAGAATCAGCTGTGATTAACAAGAGACCAGCATCACTGAAGTGAAACCTTTGCTTTACTGGTCAGCTGGGGCTGAAAAACAGTTGTGAGTAACGAAAAATCAGCATCACTGAGGTAACATCTTCTGGGGAGTATTTCTTCAGGGTCAGAAGCTGTGGTATGGAGGGGGCCAAGGCTGCATCTCAACCTAGAAACTGGACTTGGCAATGTGTAGGAACCTCCCATGTGATACTGGTTTAGAAGGTATGAAGAGGTCATGGAGAACAGTTAGGGCCTGGCACTGAAAGGCCAAGAGAGGCCACTGGTGATGGCGCAGTGAAAACCCAGGATTGAAGGGGTTGTAGAGGGATGCTGAGGCCTGGCACCATGTGGCTGTAGTCTCTGAACAAGTCAAGAGAGGCCATTGGTGAAGGTACAGCCTCAGTTGCAATGGAGACCGCAGCATATTGGAGCTGTCAGGATCATGGGGTGACCACCCAAGATGACAAAAGGTGTGGAGTGGAGCCAGCCTGAGCCTATGAGACAAGCTGTCTTGCAGAGACAGACAGGTGGGGCTACTCCACGCCCTTTAGAGCCCAGAAATACTGCTAGTGAGTCCCAGATGTTGGACACTGAGCATTTTATACTATTGGAGTTTGTTTTTGGCTTTGATCTGATTGTAACTGGCTCTTCCCTCTTGAAATAGAAAAGTATGTAATTTATTTTTCTATTTTAAATATTTTTATTTTATTTGTATGAATGTATTGCCTACAGGTATGGAAGTGTGCCCATGTTGTGAGATGTCCACAGAGGTCAGAAGAGGGTATTGCATTTCCTTGGAACTGGAGTTGACAACAGTTGTTAGTTGCCATGTGGGTGCTAGGAACTGAACCCGGGGCCTCTGCAAGAGCAGTCAGTGCTCTTAACTGCTGAGCCATCTCTCCAGCCCCTTATTTTCTATTTTATAGGAGTCCACATTAAGAGACTGGATTTTTAAAAAGAACTTGAGCTGCTTTTAAATTGGAATTTTTTAAAGACCACAGAACTTTTAAAGTTGTAGTGTATTTTGTATCGTGATATTAACATGAGATCTTGGGGACAAGAAGTGAAAAGGGTATAGCTTAAAGTGATGTGTTTGTGTGTCAGGTTGACAAGGGGTGGAATGTCATAGTTTTGTCAACTTGACATAAACCTAGACACACCTGGGAAAAAGGAATCTCAATGAGGAATTTCTTCCATCAGATTGGCCCATGGACATGTCTGTGGGACATTTTCTTGATTGATGGGTTGGTTGATTGATTGACTGACTGACTGACTGACTGACTGATTGACTGATTGATGTGAGAGGGCCCAGCACACTGCGGGCAGTGCCATCCCTAAACAGGTGGGACTAGGCTGCATAAGAAAGGTACTGAGTAAGCCAGGGGAAGCGGGCCAGTAAGCAGTGTTCCTCTGTGGTCTCTGCTTCAGTTCCTGCCTTGAGTACCTGTCCTGGCCTCTACTGATGATAGACTGTAACTTGTAAGCTTAAATAAACCCTCTCCTCACCAAATTGCTTTTGGTCAGTGTTTTATCACAGCAACAGAAAGAAACAGGCACTTGGCACTGATGGCCTCCCCCTCCATCTCTGTAGGCCACTGTCCAGGCCATAGCCACACCCCACATACTTGCTTCTTCCTGTCCAGCCTGCTCTTTACATGTGATGATTGGAGTTTACTGCATGTAGGTACTGGGGGGGCTCAGAACCCCAAGTTTCAGATCTAAAGACGCCACCTGAACTATTCAATGATACATCCTCTGGAGGTTGGGGAAGGAAAAGAGTTTCCCATCATGCTTCTCTTCCACAAAGACTCTGGTCCCACGTCCTTTCTGGGTGTGTGGGGTGATGGAGGCTGAATTACCTGGGGGGCTGCCAGAGAAGCTGTAGGTGGGGCCCTCCCTTGGACCCCTGAGGAGGCTCATCTGGTTGCCGTGGCCCAGCTGCACCCGTCGGAGCATAGACTTCTCCATGTAGATGTCCTGGGTCCCCCAGGCACCAAGTGGGGTCCCCTGAGCAGAGGGGTCCCCTGGCACTGGTAGAGGGAGATGGTGGGGAGTCCTGAGGCCTGGGATGGGCAGAACAGTAAGGGGTTGCTAGGGGTTACCCTGGACCGCTCTGTCCTGAGGACCAGGGGACCCAGGAGTAGCTGGAGTCTGGGGGCCACAGGTTTCTTAACTGGGCTCCAGGTACTGTTGAGTACCCATAGACCCAGGGAGCACTTACTACCTTCCCCCCAGGCCTTCTCAACCTCTGGCCCTATCAGGAGAAAGCCTCCTGGGTGGGAATGAGTCCTAAGTGCCCCCCATAGAAGAGCCTGGGCCTCCCCATGGCTTTATTTCCCTGGTTCTTTATTATTTATTTATTTATTATTATTTTTCTTTTTGAGACAGAGTTTCCCTGGTATCCCCAGATGGCCTGGATCTCACTATGTAGAACAAGCTGGCCTCGAACTTACAGAGCTCCACCTGCCTCTACCTCCCAAGTGATGGGCTCAAAGACGTGTGCCTCCACACCTGGCTGCCTGACTCTATTAAAAATATTTTATTTATCATATTTATTTTATGTATATGAGTATATTGTTTGCATGTATGTAGGTTCACCTGTGTCATGCAATGCCCGCAGAAGTCAGAAAAGACTGTCAGATTCCCCTGGAACTGGAGTTACAAATGATTTTTAGCCACCATGTGGGTGTTGGGAACCAAACCTGGATCCTCTGCAAGAGCAGCCAGTGCCCTTAACCACTGAGCCATTTCTCCAGCCCCCTGGTTCTTACTTTTTGTGGCCACTTTCATGTTTTCAAATTAAAGGAATGTGATTTTTTTTTTAAATTTTAAAATACATTTGAGTCCAAAAAGTTGTGAGCCATTTAACGTAGTGAGTAAAATAACCAGACAGGAGGGTGGCCCAACCAGGGAGGTGATGTCAGAGTTACAGTTGGGGAAACTGAGGCCCAGAGTGGAACACGTTTCTCCCAAGGACACAAGGAGAGTCTGACTTTGGGGCTGACGTTCTTGTACATGGGTTACAGGGCCAGAGTGAGAGGCGGCTGTACACCCTCGAAGCCACAATGCCTGCTGCAGAGGAAACAGTGAGCGGCACTGAATTTCAGCAAACCCAGGACACCAGGGCTGGGGAGAGGGCAGGGATGGGTAAGAGGACTTCCTATGCAAGTGCAAGACCTGGGTTTGAATCCTAGCATCACGTGGGAAGCTGGGCATGACTGCTTACACCTGTAACCCCAGTTCTGGAGGCACAGAGACAGGAGGATCACTAGGGCTTGCTGGCCATCAGCCGAGCTCCAGGCTCGGGAGAGATCATAGGTCAAAGGAATAAAGTAGAGAGTTGACAGAGCAGAGCCAAGAAAAGGTATTGAAAGGTGTGACAGAGAAAGAGCAAGTCACATACAAAGACAGGCTCACCAGAATAATAGCTGAATTTTCAGTGGAGACCAGGAAAACCAGAAGGGCAAGGACCAATGTCATACAAGTCCTGAAAGAACACTGATTTCCACCCAGGCTACCATACCCAGCAAAACCCTCCTTGTAACTGAAGAAGAAAGAAAAACTTTCCATGATAAAAACAGATTTAAGCCGGGCCTGGTGGCACACACCTTTAATCCCGGTATTCGGGAGGCAGAGGCAGGCGGATCTCTGTGATTTCAAGGCCAGCCTAGTCTACAAAGCGAGTTCCAGGCCAGCTGGGGCTACAGGGAGACCCTGTCTCAAAAACAAAAAACAAACAAACAAAAACAGATTTAAGAGATTTATGTCCATAAACCCAGCTGTACAGAGAATACTCAGTGGAATACTACGGTCTGAATAGATTAAACACTCTCAAGAGGGCATAAAGAATAAATGAATTATCCCAGAACAGTGACCCAGAAAAGGTCTAAGAGAACAGCACCAACATAACAGGAATTAATGAACATTGGTCAATAATAGTTCTCACTATTAATGGTCCCAACTCCCTAGTAAAAAGACACAAACTGGATTAGAAAATGGGAATCATCAGTTTTCTGCCTCTGCGAAACACACCTTACCATCAATGATCGACATCCTTTTAAGATTAACACATCTCTCAGCTCTCAGCAGAGAAGCTTCCTTCTGCAGCAGATGGTGATTAACACAGAAACCCACAACTGACCACCATGCAAAGAACAGGAGACCAGAGAGTGCTTATTCTTGACTAGGACACCTACATCAAATGTCTACCTCCTAAGGCCTGGGGATCGTTGTGGAAGAGGGGGTGGAAAGGTTTTAAGAGCCAGAGATGGTGGATGACCACAAGGAAACAGGGTTTTCCAGACAACTGGCCAGTTACTCATGTGAACTTACAGCAATGGTGATAGCATGCACAAGTCCTGTGGAAGCTCAAACCAGAGAAAATCCCAGCATAGACAGGGAGAAGTGGGTAAGAAATCCCAACTCAACCTGAGGAACTCTTGGGAACCAGTGACGACTGGGAAGGGGAGAGTCAGTTTCATTTAAGGGTGAGACTCTTAATAGGTTGACTAGGCTCCAGAGAATGACTGGAATGACTAGGCTCCAGAACGCACATCAAAGGGCATTTGGGGGTACAAACCTGACTCCATAGGCCTGTGTATGTGTGTGTCAATATATATATATATGA